CAGCGATAACCAGTTCCTCCCTGATCTAAAATTAATGATGCCTCTATTAGGAACAATTTGCACCTTTTTGACGAGGGACCGACTATTGATATTCTGTCACATAAAGGTGACGAGAGGGCCATCGCGGGATCTATCGAACATTAGTTGGAGAAATCATGTTTTATTTTAAAAAAAATGCTGACTAAATTGTCAATTGTAAGGGTGTTATGGCCATTTCCGCACGAAACTGGTGCAACATCTGACAACGATCAATAAAAAGTCTTTGATGAATGTCTCGACCTGGTAGTCATCGCCGAAATTTAGAGTTACGCTCACTTGTACTCTGCAGAGAGTAACAGCAGCGAGCGTAAGTGAGCGTAACTCCTACAATTTCAGCAGAGTGCAGAGGTGCTATACAAGAAATATACTGAGCATAATAATATCTCCCATTCCTCGAGACAATTACTTTGTTCGGACGATCTATTGTCTCTTCATATATGTCAATAGTCTAGTTTGAGGATATTGAGGTCTAGGAAAATCTCTCAAGCATTTTGTAAATCCCGGGAAAGCGGGGAATTAAAGCAAGCTTTCTGCTGATACGCCTTCGTAATATTTGAAGATTATTCAATATTTGTTATATTTCAACAAACTTAATGATTGTGAAGTTATATATACAGAGAAAGAGTTTACTTGTCCCTCAGACAGGCATATATTCTGTCTGATTCGCTCGTAGTTGACCTATAGCATCACACGAGATACATTAAAACACAGGGACCTGTTAGCTAGGAGAGATAAGTATGCGTCACAGAATATCCCCGTGCATCTCAGTGAATTGTGTACGTCTCTGACGATTTGTTGTCAATTTCAGCAGAATCGGAGGATGATTTTTATAATGGTTGTCTCTTGTAAAAATCAGAGGATAATGAATGGTGTAATTTAAATGTACAAATATTTTATGTCGAATACATATCATTTTCAGTTTTAAATTTCAAAATATGTTTTTCAATCATGAAAAGAACATAAAATTAAGATAACAAGACACCAATAGAGATATAATGTGGTTCAGTTATAATTCTACATTTAGAACTCGTAAAAGTGTGATGATGAGTTGAGTCTCCCCCATTATGACCCTCACAGTTTGTCCGCCACGTACACGATCCATAATTTACACCTGGGGCTATTCTCTCCGCCCTTTAATGATCTTACTTTCGCTTTCCTATTATAATGTTAATAGGCTGAATTCAATTTAGATAATTTTACGACTTCACAGTCCGCCGATGATCGACGAGACTTGTTTCATCATTACAAACAGACGCATACAGCATACAGCATACCTGTACATCACGTGGGAGGAATATCACGTGACTTATACAGGTGGCTAGCATCAGAGAATCGTGAATGATTTTGTTGTAAGATAAAACACGACATTTTATTTGTAATATTTAAATACAAAGGAATTGATATCGACCAACTTTAAAACTTTCAAATTGAATTCAAACAGAAACCTAAAATTTGTATTTACATGTTTTGATTATTCAGAAGTATCGTTCGTTGTACTTGTCACAGGGACCTGCGAATTTGTTACAGCTATATTTGTACCTAAACTAATGTGTTCAGAGTAATTTTACATGTTAACCCCTAAAACATGTTATATTACTCTGAACACCTTAGTTTAGGTCCAAATGTGTCTGTAACAAACTCTCAGAACCCTGTGGTAATTGTGTATATCTTGGAAATATTACCGCTTAAATAAATATTTAAACTCTAGGCTACCACTGGTGAAAAAACTTTTGACACATTATCTGATTTTGGAACTAGAAGGAGGCGATGCCATAGACCTATCCCAAAGACATATAATAAACGTCGCTGACTTTCCTTAAGGTAAATGGTACCACTGCGTCAGTTGTAATTGCGAAGAAGAGTTCCACTTAGAGATTTATTGACTTGAAGTAATCTCCCTTCTTTGTAGATGGTAAAGCATGGGTATAGCGTACGTTGTTTAGTTATATGGTTTGCTGACAGTAAATGGACACTCATTTTAATACCTTTCGTTTATAATAGAAACTTCTAGGGGGGGGGGGGGGGGGCTTAAAGGTCCTGAGTTCGACCCACTTAAAAAAAAAAAAATGTCAGACATCAATAATTGTGTTAAATGTATCTCAACATCTTATTTTATATCGATTACTTCTTTTGTAAAGGACTTTACCACAGTCATAATGGTTGTATCACAGTTTCATGTGTTGGTACCCTTAACCCTTTCACCACTGTAGACCATAATGGACTTATCCAGATCAATGCATGGTAGAGTTTATTAAATTTACATAGGGGTGAAAGGGTTAACCTTTAATACAACAGTGAAATACAAGTTCATGCTATGTTTAAAGAATACCCGTAAAAATACATATTTACGATCAGATCTAGTTTGGTCGGGGCTAACGTATAGTCTCACGATCTCGAGAGCCGGAAAGAAGTAGACGTTGAAAATATTTGGATTACAGGATTATAGTTGACTGTTGATAATCCGCCTCCCAAATAAATCCAATTACTTTCTTGTCGTAATCCCGTTAACGAGTTCAAAAAGATTATACCATACTCGGCTTTAGTATTTGTGATTAGTAGTAAGTTGTATGGAATTTTTGAACCACATCGCTTCTGAATAATTTCTTAATTGATCGTATGAATGTCAAATTGTCATGATGATGATGATGATTTGATGATGATGATGATGATTTGATGATGATGATGATGATGATGATGATGATGATGATGATGATGATGATGATGATATGATGATGGTGATGATGATTATGTAATGATGATGATGATGATGATTTGATGATGATGATGATGATGATGATGATGATGATGATGATGATGATGATGATGATGATGATGATGATGATGATGATGATGATGATGATGATGAACGACGACGGTTGGTATTGTATATTGTTTTTATTTTCTCCTTATACATCACATCGATTCTCTAGACCAGAAATTGGGAAACAGAATAATTACTCTCGGCACGCTATATGCCGAGACTACCGAAAAAGGGTCGAGATGTAGAGATACCGAATTCGAGATATTGCAAAACAAATAATAGATGTACCTTGACTATTATAATAACGATGGAAATATATGCGGAGGATTCGAGTTTTCCGTATTTTTTTCTAAAAACCTCAATGTGCTTCAGACAATAAAGTAACAGTGGGGAGCGAAAGGCTGGTGCATTCCCAGACTGAAATTAATTTTGTTTTAATAAGGTCCCGCCCCTTTCGCTCGGCAACATCTGGCAGGTTAAGGGTCAAATCCGGAGGAAATTTATGGAGGGTGTAAAACGTGACCTTGAATAATGCAATTAATGTTAGAAATCCCCCTAATGGGACCTCGCGTGTGTGACATCTGCGTGTTTCTAGGTAACAGGTGTGACCACTGGCCGAATAAATTGGTGACAGGGTCATTCTGTGGACAATATAATCATAATGTCAGTAAAAATACATAGAACTATAAACGTATTTTACAATTAAACAGTGACATATGGGTTAATAAGTATATTTTACATAGAAAGGTGGAATATTGTGAGAATGAATATGTAATGAAAAAAAAATTGAACATTTTTTTATAGATTAATTCCAATGGTGAAATTACATGTTAATTTTATTTATGACACGTCACTGTATGCCGTCTTCTATAGGACGATAATTACTACTGTTAAAAGTAAATTATTAAAGTTAACGTAAGACAATAGACCTCCTCTACATTGGATTTTTTTTTTTTTTTTTTTTT